TTTTTTCAACTTGTTCCCTTTGCTGTTTCTCCATTTCATCCAAAGATTTCCATCGCTGAGAATATTCATACTCAAATGTGCCATGTTGAGCAAAACGAGGTGGTGTTTCCCTCTCCCTGACAATATACAATTTGTAGTTGTTCGTAAGCAATACTACCTAATTTGTTTAACCAAAAATGAATGTAACTTCAATGTGGTACCAGACTATTTCTTTCCTAAGAAAAACACCATACTGACAACTTGGTACTTTGCTGGTTGATACTATTATTCAAAAAGAGGCCATCTCTTTCAAACTCATTGCACATTTCTCCAGCATCCCTCACATTCTTCTCTCCTGTTCTTGCTAATCATTCTAACAGAAGTTACAGCAAACACAGTTTTTATTTATCCAAGCTGCATTAACTTAGTAAGGACTAATAAGTCACAAGTTTTACTTTAAAAATAATGAACTAGGGGAAGAGATAAATTCTTTCACCTCTTCTGTTCTTTTGTGTGGGAGCCAAAGCCACAGCTCACTATGTGTACCAGGCTGGCCTCAAACTCATAGTGATCTTCCCCTCTCAATGCTGGGATTACAGGTGTGCACCTCCCAAGCCTGGCCTTCTTCATTTTACTGTAGCTAAATGCCTAGAAGATGCACTTAACTCATAAAAACAGCTCAACAACAAATTCAAAATACAGCTTTCAGTAACTTCTTTTACACTTTTTCCGGAAACAGGGTCTTTATGTAATTCAGACTGGCAATGTAGCCTCAATCTTCAAAAAACCAGGGTTACAGGAGTGCATTATATGACTCTTACACTTAACCCTAAAGTCTACCTGAGCCATTGCAAATTGTCCTCTTTATATTTCTTTTATTTTATAAAAATTACCAAGAAACACCCAATTTTAGATTATTCTATATGCAAATAATAGGACTAATCTAAGTACTGCCAAAAAGCTTAATCAGTCTTACTTTTGATACATTGGATTCTTCTGGGCAAGTTTTTCAGGAAGACCATCTTCATCATCCAATTGTTCAAGTGGTTCCACAATGACTGGCCGAGGCGTTCTGAGAACAAAAAATGTTTTCATCTTAACTTTGCCCAGTTTTTATTACAACATCCTCATACAGTTATCAAAAACAGAACAAACCAAAAACAACTTACGTTGTCAATAGGAAAACACCTTCACTGCATCTTTCAAATGCTTTTCTTGCCGCTGGTTTAGAAGCAAATTCAACTATGCCTTTCCCTGTAGATCTTCCTCGATCATCCACAATTACAACGGCCCTTTCTATAGGACCAAACTGGCTAAAGGCTTCTTCCAACAGTTCATTGGAAACATAAGGTGAAAGATTACGAACAGACAGGGCAGCAGCATGTGTCGCAAAACGAACTCGAAGCTGTCTGCCCCTCATGGGCGTATCATCAAGTTCAGCTTTGGCAATTTCAGCCAAGGCTCTAGATTCCTGTAAACGTGAAACACTGTACGTTAACGGCTTCAAAATTGGCTAAGGACCACTCCCAAACTGTCATAAACCTTCTGAGCCGGCCAAATAGCTCAGCGGATTAAAGCGCCTAGGCACAGGGACAGGGGTTTGATCTCCGGGCCAGCTATGCTGGCCCCCGGCCCCGGGGCGCGCTGAAACAGCAATTGAGACTGGGCATGGTGGCACGCGCCCGTAATCTCAGCTCTTGGGAGGCTGTAACCAGGCGGATCACTAAAAGTCCGATCTAGTAGTGAGACCCTGAACACCCTGGAGACCCTTCCCTAAAACACCAAAATAAATGCACTAAAAGTAAATACCCCATCTGCCACACCCTGTACCAATACCAATTCAGCAAGACTCAACAAAAAATTCTAGTTAAAAACTTGGCAATTACACTTACAAGCTTAATAAATCCGAATCCTTTGCCTTTATTGATAAAAACCTCTCCCGGTTCTCCATATTTAGCAAACAGTCTTTTAAATTCATCCTCCGTGATATCTGCAGGCAGATTCCCAACAAACAACCGGCAACGCTGAGTGTAAGTTTTCTCTCCCGGCCTCCGCAATAGAGATAAGTTGGCTTTAAATCCCTAATAGAAAAAAAGGGCATTTGTTCAGACATCAGTGACCACTACTGGCAGAAAACTTCAAAACTCATGTTTTGCTTTTCCCGAAGTAGAGAGAAATTAATCGACTTTCCTGTTCCGTTTAAAATCAAATTTGAATTGCGAATTTCAAAAAAAACAAAAAAAAAAATCAAGCCTCAAACACCTAGCGAATTCCTAACAGTCGACACCGCCCCGCCCACAAACTACAACTCGTCGGCAACCACAAGCCACCCGAGCCACGGCGAGCGTCCCTCCCACACAGTCTCCAGGCCGGGCAAGCGGTTCCCAGCGGCGCGGCGCCCGCCGGGCGAGCGCGAGACCCTGAGGCTGACTCCCGCCACCGAAAATGAAAACGGAACAAGCCCCGAATACTGACGTCAGCGAGCGCAGACCCGCACGGCCAGGCCCACCCCAGCCCCGCGTCTCCCATCTGCACAGCGCCGGCTGCCAGGCCCGCAGGCTCCGCCCGCCGCCGGATCCGAGAGGCGCAGGCGCCTTCCGGCTGGCCGCCGACAAAATGGAGGCCGCGCCGCGGCGGGGGCGGGGGCGGCGCCATCTTAGAGCCGTCGCCGCGGCGCGCCCGGACTCACCTCCGAGTCGGAGATCTTCTCCTCGCTGCGACCGCCGGGCCCGCCGGGCGGGGGTCCCTGGTGGTGCTGCTGGTGGTAGGGCGGGTGGTGCTGGCGGCCCCCGCGGGGCTCCCCGCCGCCTCGGTGCGGCGGCTTCGGGTGGCCGCCAGGTGCGCCGAGGCCCGGACCGCCACCGGGCTTTGGCCCGCCGGGCATCTTCCCGCCCTTAGGGCCGCCCGGGCCTGGACCTTGCTTCGGCCCGGGGCCCGGTCCCGGGACGCCCGCAGGGGGAGGCGGCGGGCCACCGGTCTGTGGGGGAGTGGTCGGGACCCCGCTGGCCGGCGGCGTCGGCGGCGGCGCACCGGG